GATCTGAGAGGGTTTAGGCAATTTCATGTGCACCACAAGGCCAGCTGCCATTAGTTGTGATTGGATTTCATGGGGCTCGGCTCATTCTGTTGAGTTGAATTTTCTCACAAAAGACCCCCACGCTGCTTGCACCTCGAGTCCAGACAGGATAAGATCAAAATCGTTTCTGATTTTCACACAGCTGTTCTCACCATAAGGGCTGCTCCGGGGGCCAGTGGAAGAAAGATGACCTCAAAAAGATGATTAAAGCTAAATATCAATGAGACCACAGTCACGTTCAGAGCTTTAGCAATGAACAGAAAAGATAAATGATCATTCATTGACCACTGAGGTTAAAATTCAGCAATCACTTAATGGATTATCTCAACATGGCTCAGAGTGGCTGGAGACACTGTTAGATATGAATGATTACAAAAAACTGCCATAGTTTTTGCAGTGCCTTTCAACTTCCACATTTGCATATCCCAGTTATTTATTTTTTTCTGCCGCCTCTTCATCAAATGATAGAGAACAATTTATAGTAAAGTGATGTAAAATAATTAGACAGCAATCGTCAAAGTGCTTATGAAGATTGATAAAAGGGAAAAGCCTACAGTGTGTCACACATGGCATCATTGCTCAAACACGTATTATAGAAAAGGCTAAACTAGATTCCAGTCTTTATCTTGCTGGCTTTTTAAACGTTACAAATTGTCATGTAATTTCCTTGAAAGGAAAATCCTCCATGCTGGGTCCATTACTGTTAACACTCACCTCAAAGGGCCCACTCTTAGCAGCAGATCACATTGTCAAACAGCATATTGAATTTTTTTTATTCAAATAACAATTCTTGGTTAATACATAGAAAGGAACAAGAGGGAAAACACCACATCGGCATTTACTGGTGACAGGGCAAAGTGAGGACAGCCAGAGCATCGGCACCTTGCTTTCTCAATAGATGTTTTCCCACACCGGCTCCATGTTTTTCTCCAAATGTTGAAATGGCGAGTTGACCTGGGACAACAGTGAGAAACAGAGGCGAGTTTTATGAATCCACGTGTCAAAATAAAGAGTCAAAACACACTTTGCACTTTCAATAGCTGTCTTCGAAATTCACAGCGCAGTGCACACAGGACCAGAGGGAATCGCATTAAAATGGACCAAGACAAGTTCGTCATCCATGTGGAGCCATTTGCAGTAAACAGTTTCAAACGTGTTTTCTTTTCTTGGCAAGGACATCTTTGTAAAGAAAATAACAGTAGAGCAAATGCCCAAACTTTGATGGTAGAGCTCGTTCCATGGCTTTTAACGCTGCTGCCTTTTATCCCAAGTATGGTCCTTCTTGCAACTTGTGTTTTGTAACCTTCTTCATCAGACACACATGTAAGCAACAGGCTGTACAAAAGTTTGTTTTTTATTTGCTGTCTAAATTACCGCTAAACTTGCTGATATTTTCACCTCTCATTACCGCTATAATTATGGATATGCTTGTTATTCCCACTTAAAACGCATTGGCCAAAAACAAACGAGTAAGTGCGCCAGAGTTATGCAGTGGATATAGGATTTTTTTTTTGTACGTCTGACTAAAAGAAATCTCAAGTCATGCCCCTGGAGATGCCCCTTGGTACACATGGGCTTGTCTGATTAAAAATGCTTTGTAAACACATTTTCATTTCATTCTGCAGTTGCACATCTCCTCAGAATTTCCATTCATAGTCCCATTAGCAAGTTCTTATCAAGACAGATATAAACAGAACACTCAACAGGGCACAACCACAGAGTAAGAAATATCTTCACAAAGATTTAAAAGGAAAGATAAAGGTGCACTTTATTGATCGCCGTAGTCGATGTTGATGCTCAGCTTGGTCAGGACTATGAGAACTGGAGGATTTAGCCATTTTGGATGTTTTAAGTGGTTAAGGAAAAATTTGAACCCAGTGAAGTACATTAAGACCATAATGGGATAGTTTTACACAATTGACCATGTATAGTTGCAATAGTAATCTTGCATTCTAGCTCAGGTCACTCAGTATGTTAGAAAAATGCGACCAGGGTAGGAATAAGGTGTTAAAATAATCATTATACAAACCTCTTGCTAGGTCATGTGTAAGCTTGTTTTCCAATTATTTTCAATCAGGCTTACAAATGTGTGCATGTCTGCTTCTGATTCAGTGAACTTTGAAAGAGCATTTATTAAGTACCTTTGCAAATGAACCAAGCTTTAAATACAGCTTCTGCTTTGATAGAGACGAAGCATGGACACTTCCACCAAGTAGATAAAAGAATGTGTTATGTACAGGTCTGCAAACACCAAAGGGGACCTGAGCAGACCAAGAAGTATGGCAGTAGTTTTGGCCCACGGCGACATCTGCAAACAAGAATGAGTCCAAATGTTAACCGTACAGAGAGAGTGGAAGAGATCATGATGCAACTTCAGACCACAGTGCTGCAGCGCTGGGCCTCTGGTGTCCAACCGTAGCTTTTTACATTTCCCTCAAATTAGCCCGCTGAGTGACTGTGCAAATGATGTTAGCCAATTCTTAAGGATGGAAATTGCACTATGCAGCGGGGAAGAGGAGATTGAAGAGGCAGGTTACAGTGTTCAGAAGAGAGGTGGGTTGAGAAATGGCTCTGAAATTTTGGCAGATTTTGACGTAGTCTGATGTACTGTGCTCTGGGTTTAAATATGTAAAAGACCTGCAGTCTCAAAGCTAATGTATCTTTAAAATACATTCCCTGAACTTTGGAAGTTTATTTTTCACTACTAATATAATTTAGGTACATTACCGTTCAAAAGTTTGGGGTCACCCAAGTGTTTTCCATGAAAAGTCAAACTTATTCACCACCATAGGTTGTGAAATGAATAGAAATAGAGTCAAGACATTGACAAGGTTAGAAATAATGATTTGTATTTTAAATAAGATTTGTTTTACATCCAACTTTGCTTTCGTCAAAGAATCCTCCATTTGCAGCAATTACAACAGTGCACCAAAAACAAGACATTTGCAGCTAGAATAGTCATTTACCACATAAGCAATGTATAGAGTGTATTTCTTTATAGTTGAGACTAGTTTAAAGTTATCTACAGTGCTTTTCCTTCAAAAATAAGGATATTTCAATGTGACCCCAAACTTTTGAACGGTAGTGTATTTTTTTTAACATTGCATAGACTTAAACATGAGGAGGTTTCAGGACACCAAATTCTGTATATGATTTTTCATCTATACTTTTTTAGACTACTTTTAATCAGAAGACCCAATGTTTGACAAGCTGTGTCTATGAAGATGTTCTCCAAGAGCATCACTGTAGAAAAAAATCCCATATTTGCTGACCTTTGATCCAAACAACTTAATTCATTGAATAATAATTTGTCATTTAAATAATTACAGCCTTAAATATAGTTGTATGTTATGACAAATTATAGGTTATTCCTAAAGTATGTGAATATCCTGATAAAGTGCAGAGGAATCTTGTGATTTCAGAATGTGAGCCATATTAGTGGTAAACTGAGTTCACAGTGACATATTTGAAGTCTTTGAATAGAATACTGTGTAGCTTCTATTCAAAGTTCAAAGTTCATTTATTTGAATAAAGTGGTTTTAAAGCTTCAGAGCGATTGCACAAAGAGAAGGATGTAACATCACATGCCACGTACCTAACGTGGCATGTGATGTTACATCCTTCTCTGTTTTTCAGATTTTGTGACTTTTCAAAGATCTTTTCAGATATACTGTAGGACTGCGACATGTTGAACCCTCTTGAACACATTTTATCGAATCATTTGTGCTGAGAAGAATACTTTTGTTTTCATCTGCCTCTAAACATGCATGTGATTATTATCTAGTATAAGTATGGTGATTATGGTGAGATTAAGCTCAACCGTCCGCCCACTTTAACTACTGTTGGGATTTAGGACTTTACAAGAATACATAGAATTGAATTTACTTTCTCCAATTAACATCAAATTCACTGAGGGCTATTTTGAACACGACTGTAAATAAGGACTGTGGTTATTCTGGTAAGTATTGTGAGATTTCATAACACTTTGAAGCAACTTTTGTTATAGTTAAACTCATCATTTTATCAATGTGCAGAAGCCAGTACTTTTCCCTTGTTTTGTCTATCTGAAAGCCAAGCTACATGGCACCGTGGAAGCTGCTGATTGGAGGTCTCCATGCCTCCGCTCTGTATAATACACTTGCATTCTGTTGTTTTCGTTGTTCGTGCTGTCTCTACCATCGACAATAAAACATGTCTTCTGTCTGAATAAAAAAAAAAAAAAAGAAATAAGTAGTCTTCTGTTCTCTAGATGTTACAGACAATGCCCGCATCCTTCCACCACCTGAAGAAGATGACATGTCTGGGATCGTGTCTTAAATTCAGACAGAAGACATGTTTTATTGTCGATGGTAGAGACAGCACGAACAACACGGACAGAGAATGCAAGTGTATTATACAGAGCGGAGGCATGGAGACCTCCAATCAGCAGCTGCCACGGTGCCATGTAGCTTTGTCATAAGTGTAAAAACAGGTTCTTCGGACCCGGATTTAAAAAGGGACCACTGGATTAAAAGCGAATTAAAAGCAATTTATTACAAAATACATTAAAAACAAGTAAATAAAAGCAATGAAACCCTAAGCTTAAAAAACGGAGTAAAAAGCTAAAACAGGCTAAAACGCTAAAACAGGCTAAAACGCGACCCCACGGCCTGGGCCGCCAGACCACGGGGCTCTCACCCGCCACGTCGGGCTCCCGTCTCAGGCTCTCTCTCTCCGTCTCGTTCTGTCTCCCCCTCCCCGTCTCAGTCTTTTATTCTCAAGGCGCAGGTGTCTTGATTGCTCACGTGGGGAGCCGGGGTGCTTCAGGTGGTGCCAGTTAAAATCAATATTAAAAACACACAAACACAACATGCATAAAATATGAATAAAACCATATTAAAACCCACCACCCATTTTGCACCCCCTGACACTCCCCCCTGCTTTAATCTTAGCAGTCCCTGCTAACAGAACACCTGCGCCTTTCAATCTCTGGGGAGGGGTTCGCCTCCGTCGCGCCTCTCCCGGGGCCTCCGTCGCGTCTCTCCCGGGGCCTCCGTCGCGTCTCTCCCGGGGCCTCCGTCGCGTCTCTCCCGGGGCCTCCGTCGCGTCTCTCCCGGGGCCTCCGTCGCGTCTCTCCCGGGGCCTCCGTCGCGTCTCTCCCGGGGCCTCCGTCGAGTCTCTCCCGGGGCCTCCGTCGAGTCTCTCCCGGGGCCTCCGTCGAGTCTCTCCCGGGGCCTCCGTCGCGTCTCTCCCGGGGCCTCCGTCGCGTCTCTCCCGGGGCCTCCGTCGCGTCTCTCCCGGGGCCTCCGTCGCCTCAGACTCCTGCCGCCACTGCCGCTGCTGCCGGGCCACCTGCACCAAACACACCAGAGGCCAGCCCAAACCCACGCATCCGCGACCCTAGGGCCATAGGCCTTCCACGAGCACCACTACACCACATGCCCATACTTACAGGCCAGGCAGACTTCCATGTCTGCCCCTGCTTGTATCATGCGTCGTGGTGCTCTCTCTCTCCAGGTCGTGGATGTGGTGCTCCTCTGTGTGCTGGATCTGGGGTGGCCCACCCGGCTGCCAACGCGCAGTTCAGCTCGGATCCCTTGACGGCCTCAGCGACAGCACACCCATCCTTGCTCCACGGAGCCCTAGCCTCTAACCGCAACTTAAAAACAGTGGTACCGGATCCTGTCAGCAACGCCAAAATGTCATAAGTGTAAAAACAGGTTCTTCGGACCCGGATTTAAAAAGGGACCACTGGATTAAAAGCGAATTAAAAGCAATTTATTACAAAATACATTAAAAACAAGTAAATAAAAGCAATGAAACCCTAAGCTAAAAAAACGGAGTAAAAAGCTAAAACAGGCTAAAACGCTAAAACAGGCTAAAACGCTAAAATAGGCTAAAACGCGACCCCACGGCCTGGGCCGCCAGACCACGGGGCTCTCACCCGCCACGTCGGGCTCCCGTCTCAGGCTCTCTCTCTCCGTCTCGTTCTGTCTCCCCCTCCCCGTCTCAGTCTTTTATTCTCAAGGCGCAGGTGTCTTGATTGCTCACGTGGGGAGCCGGGGTGCTTCAGGTGGTGCCAGTTAAAATCAATATTAAAAACACACAAACACAACATGCATAAAATATGAATAAAACCATATTAAAACCCACCACCCATTTTGCACCCCCTGACAGCTTGGCCTTCAGATAGACAAAACAAGGGAAAAGTACTGGCTTCTGCACATTGATAAAATGATGAGTTTAACTATAACAAAAGTTGCTTAAAAGTGTTATGAAATCTCACATTATCATGGAGTCAGAGAATATTGCACTGATACACTGTGTCCATATTGCAACCAGTTTATGCTCTCCCATAGAATAAATGCTAAAGTTTGCAAAGTGCCTACATATTTAGATTTTAAAAGTTCATTCATGCGCAAGCTGTGTTGGTAAAAGTATGTTTTACTGACATCATCTTGTGCTGATGAAATATCAAGTGCCCTGGCATCTGGAAATAAGACCGTTGCATCATTTGAACAGTAACAGCTTACGGACTGCCCCAGGACAGGTATCGGGTTCGCCTGTGGAAAAGAAAGTAAATAATTAAAAGGTTCTGTGAAAAGCTCAGACTTGTGTTGTTCTATCACTCCCTCCGTCTTCGACTTGTTCTCTCCCATTTGTCCATCACACAAACAAAGCCGTACAGTGTGTTTGGTTTAGCGCTTAAACATTCATTAGATTTCAGTTTCAGTTTTCAAATAACAGACATTACAGACCTGGTACGGCACTTCTTGTTTGTGAAAATTATTTGTTATATATTATAAATGTATTACACAAATTGATTTAAAAAAAGTTATTCATTAAAAATTTGGATAATTTTATAAATGAATCATTCACGAATCACAAAAATTCTTGAGATGGGACGTTTCTTAGAATATATGTATTTAGAATATATTTCAAGCTCATGTTGTAGAACTATATACTATTGTCTCTGGAACATGTTGAAGATGGACCGTAGAAAGGCCGTCATGTGTTCCACGCTCTGTATGAGAGGCCAGTGAGAAGTTTGACATCTGCCTGAAGCATTACTTAGTAATGTTGTTGTGAAAAGGTTTCTGAAGGTTATCGTGTTGGAGTTGAACACATTCCAAAACTTATTAATAAAATATTTACAGACACATTCATAAATTATGAATTTGACCTTAAGACAGAAAGCCTAATCAATGTGCACAGTAGTAACACCTCTTGTACCACCTTTGCATATAATAAACTCAGACAGAATACAGGCTGTTCCCATAAAGTCATAAGATATTGAGTAATGATACTCCCAGGTAAGTAATCTTTATTTATATAGCACCTTTGACAGTCAGAAAGCGCTTTACAATTGTTGTGAGAAGAGATAAAGAGTTTGTAATTGGGAAAATAATGTGTCAAAATAGTTCATTAATTCATTTCAATGATATCCACAAAAATGTTTGGAGATTGACCATTTTTCTTAGAAATATCTAGAATTTGTGAAGGAGCAGGTATATCTCAGGTACAGTAATACTTGACTCCAGATGCACTGGTATGTATACAGTTTTTAACCTTTGATATATATTTGATGGCTGTGTCTCGGGGCTTTGGCCGAGGAGACTTTCTGAGTGAATAATGAATACAGTGTGAGACAGGCTACTCGTGCTTGATTCCTTTCACGTTCCTGTTTGAGTTTTACTATATTCAAAGGTAAAGAAGTCCAAAGAAACCAACTAAAACATATACTAAAAGAGAGAAAAACAAATTAGACACTAATACATGCTTCATTTATTTTTATCTCTCTGGACATTGATATAGTCTTGAATTGAAAAGTACACTTTGAAGAGAAGTGTTATATTGCATTTCCAATTAGTGCTTCTTTCTTCTCTCTAAGCATTTTCAGACACATTTTCTGGAGTCAACTTTACTGTACTGATGATATTAATTGTATTGTAACACTATTTCTGCTTCCCAAGTGTTTATAAGAATGTGGGTGTAGCACAAATCACACGCAGAAGGCCAACTCCTCAGGACCGTACTTAATTCAATTCATCACCACGTCAAGTCGGTTTTTATAGGTCGAATGAAAAATTCCCTTACGCTAAAGGTTGTTATACCAATCTAATACAATTTATACTTCCATTGATAATGACTGACAGAACAAATTATTGGTATAGCACCAAAAATAAGATTTGTTTTTTTGAAATGTGTGTTAAAAAGCTGTTTTTTTTATTGCCATCTTTGTCAATATATGTTTCTGTTTGTTTTTGTTACTGTACTGTGGCAGATCATTAGATTTGTTTACGGTCAAAGGTTCTATCTAAACTCTCCAAAAAACAAATCGGTCGTTCTATATCAAAATTTAACACACAACCATGTCAACAAAATCCCACTGACATGTTTTCCTCTCACAGAGCCCTCGACAGGGCACTAATGCTGTTGTATATTGTGTAGTATTGTATGAATGTGTAGTGCGTAGTGCCCTCAGTGGCCCTTACCTGCAGATAAGCCTGTTATCTCTGCCTCCCTGCACTACACTGGGACACTCTCCTCCACATCGTGCCCATCCAATCAGACAGCAGACTGCCGCAGACTCCACAAGGTCTACCCAAAACTCACACAGGGCAGACATGGGGACTGCTGCCTCATATCAAGGACCGGCGAGAAAATATGCTCTCTCTTTTGTGCTCGGCTCTTTGGAACTGACGTATCTCGTCTTTGCAAAGGGACTTATTTTGGCAGCAAATCATCACAATTATGTCTTGGTGGTAAAGTTTAGCATCAGTTTGGGATTCACAAGCTGTTATACAAAGCAGTTTCATCAAGATCCTGCACTTGGATTTAAACTCTTTTCGATGATCGATCTCACAACGTTTCCAGCATTTTTTTTTCCTGTGCCTTTAAACTTGTTTTATCTATGTTGTCTTTTGCACTCGGGGGATTTTTTTGCAGATGTATTCCAATGTGGTTTATATGGCAAATAAAATTAATCTGAATCTGATTCAACAGTTGGTAGTGACACTGTTCTCCACCTAATATGTTGTTAAAGTTATTTAACAACATAAAGTTTTTTTTTAAAACTAAATCAACATCCGCTTAAAAGCAGGAACGCTTTCAGATGAGCTTTGGTGCTATGGTAACTGCAGAAGTCAGGGTCTGCATCTCACTGCTTTTCCATGGAGATGACAGAATCAAACTCTCAGGTGCTTAAATGAAGGGAGCAGAGACAAAGGCGCTTTGTACTCTTGCCCTTGTCACTAACATAAGTCACAATTGAAATCACAATGTTGTGTTGTTTTAGAATAGCATTGTATAAGCTTTGTTTATATCTCTAATAACACTGTGAATATAGACAGATAGACATGTCCTGTCTATTTTCACACTGATCTTATTGAGGCCAATTGTAACATGTACGTTTATACTTTGTGAGATCGATAAAGTTTGTGATAAAGATATCTGTCAAACTGACCGCATCCGGCAACAACAGCTGATCACACCATCACTTGTCACCTCTGATGAAGGCAGAAGTGTACCGCCAAAACATGTCAGGTACTTACAGTGCCTTGCGAAAGTATTCGGCCCCCTTGAACCTTTCAACATTTAGCCACATTTCAGGCTTCAAACATAAAGATATAAAAATCAAAATTTTGGTCAAGAATCATCAACAAGTGGGACACAAACGTGAAGTGGAACGAAATGTATTGGATAATTTAAACTTTTTTAACAAATAAAAAACTGAAAAGTGGGGTGTGCAATATTATTCGGCCCCCTTGCGCTAATACTTTGTAGCGCCACCTTTTGCTGCAATTACAGCTGCAAGTCCCTTGGGGTATGTCTCTATCAGTTTTGCACATCGAGAGACTGGAATTCTTTCCCATTCTTCCTTGCAAAACAGCTCGAGCTCAGTGAGGTTGGATGGAGAGCGTTTGTGAACAGCAGTCTTCAGCTCTTTCCACAGATTCTCGATTTGATTCAGGTCTGGACTTTGACTTGGCCATTCTAACACCTGGATACGTCTATTTGTGAACCATTCCATTGTAGATTTGGCTTTATGTTTTGGATCATTGTCCTGTTGGAAGATAAATCTCCGTCCCAGTCTCAGGTCTTTTGCAGACTCCAACAGGTTTTCTTCCAGAATGGTCCTCTATTTGGCTCCATCCATCTTCCCATCAATTTTAGCCATCTTCCCTGTCCCTGCTGAAGAAAAGCAGGCCCAAAGCATGATGCTGCCACCACCATGTTTGACAGTGGGGATGGTGTGTTCAGGGTGATGAGCTGTGTTGCTTTTACGCCAAACATATCGTTTTGCATTGTGGCCAAAAAGTTCGATTTTGGTTTCATCTGACCAGAGCACCTTCTTCCACATGTTTGGTGTGTCTCCCAGGTGGGTTGTGGCAAACTTTAAACAAGACTTTTTATGGATATCTTTGAGAAATGGCTTTCTTCTTGCCACTCTTCCATAAAGGCCAGATTTGTGCAGTGCACGACTGATTGTTGTCCTATGGACAGACTCTCCCACCTCAGCTGTAGTTATCTGCAGTTCATCCAGAGTGATCATGGGCCTCTTGGCTGCATCTCTGATCAGTCTTCTCCTTGTTTGAGATGAAAGTTTGGAGGGACGGCCGGGTCTTGGTAGATTTGCAGTGGTCTGATACTCCTTCCATTTCAATATAATTGCTTGCACAGTGCTCCTTGAGATGTTTAAAGCTTGGGAAATCTTTTTGTATCCAAACTTCTTCACAACAGTATCTCGGACCTGCCTGGTGTGTTTCTTTGTCTTCATGGTTCTCTCTGCGCTTTAAACAGAACCCTGAGACTATCAAAGAGCAGGTGCATTTATACGGAGACTTGATTACACACAGGTGCATTCTATTTATCATCATCAGTCATTTAGGACAACATTGGATCATTCAAAGATCCTCACTGAACTTCTGGAGTGAGTTTGCTGCACTGAAAGTAAAGGGGCCGAATAAAATTGTACGCTCCACTTTTCAGTTTTTTATTTGTTAAAAAAGTTTAAATTATCCAATAAATTTCGTTCCACTTCATGATTGTGTCCCACTTGTTGTTGATTCATGACAAAAAATTAAAATTGTATATCTTGATGTTTGAAGCCTGAAATGTGGCGAAATGTTGAAAGGTTCAAGGGGGCCAAAAACTTTCGCAAGGCACTGTAAGCAGTACTAGCTTTCTTTACTTTCTTGTCTTATTAAAAGAACCTTTAAAGCCTTAAACAGGAGCCTCAACACAACCACCAAAGCAGAAATTACTTTTACATTAAAAGTTGTGTTGGGCCCACTCACACAGCCTTTTAGTCGTCATCCCGCTACTGTCATGACTCTCCAACACAACGCATTTTACAACTTCAAAACAAACATCTTAGCAGCCGGCTGAGTGCTGCGCTGCGAGATGGGCCACTGCTGAGGGGAAAGGTAGGAGAATGTAACAGATTACCTTCTATAGAGCGCATCCCACACACAAAGAGTATTTGACGCCAACACACTACACTAAAAAACAAGGTGAGAAGGATTCATTGGACTGGAGATTGTTGGGGAAACTTTCAATGGGAGTCAAACCCAAGACAACCAAATCCTTTAAAAACTCATTAGACCATTTCATAAATGAGTTTAATGCCATACATTCCTGACAAAGCCATTGATGTTTTCCTCGAGCAGGCATCCACTGACCATAAATGTATCTAGCCAGAAGAGCCTAGAACTAAACGTATTCAATTCTTGCATGTATTTGAATTATGTTTATGAGGTGGGAGTCTACACGTTTCTACTTCTTTCCAACTTCTTTTTGAGCTGATAAATTGTGAAAAGAAAGGCATTCATGAATACATATTAAACACATGGTGAAACTAGGGCAAATACTGTTGCTTGATTTTATTTTTATGTTTACATATTTGCATGTGTAAGTATAGTAGTTTGTACTAAAGGACATGTAAACTAAGGAATGTAAATATTTTAAACACTTTTGAATGTAAAATTTCTGCTCGAATGCATAAAATCAATCAATGAAAGCCACCCCACATTCAGCTTTAGTTTTGGTGAATGGCATTAGCAATATAGAAAACAAATCAGAATCCAGACCATTTAAAACAACATTCAAATTTGTCCTGGCTTTGTACAAGAGTCAGTAGACATAATGGTATGGCTCATGATAAATCCTTGGACAGATACACAGCTCTGGCTCTCCTCCTCAGCCTCAGATCTTCAGTTAAATCCTGTCTTTGTGTCTGTCCATGTCAACTGCGTAGAAGAGCTCCTGTGATTCTGTTTGCGCCAAGCTAAATATGTTAACAAGGCGACGGACTCCAGCACTCTGGGACTGGATCCAACCAGGCCTTTGGTTCATCTCCAAGGTTTGGCTCCATACATACTGTACTGTGTGGTATAGGATTGCCAAGGCTTACAGAAGGCATGGAAGCAGATGTTAAACCTCTCTATCGCTTCTTGAAAAGGTCCCTGGGGAGAACATTTTTTTAATTTGAGTATTTCCTGATGAATTGGATCTTTCACTTTCTTGTCTTGCTTTTCTTAACCTTTTGCTTGCTTTTTGGGTAACATTCTATGCTTAATAAATCCCATTGGTGTAAGTTGTAAAAATACTTCCTAATTTGTCATAATTCAGAGACCACAACTGCAGCTGTAGTTACATTCACTTTTTTCCCCAACTAGCAGAACATACAGTACATATGATATTTTTTACTTTCTAGCTGTGAACAAGAACTTTAAATTGGAAAGCATGCAAGGGCTGTACCAGGTCCTGCTCCTCTTTCTGTATTACAAAACAGCAGAATTCATGTGATGCTCATTGAAATGCATGATTATATCTGCGAAGGCAAAGTGCACGGAGTATGTGTGCGTGGTTGAGAAACAATAATGCAATTGCAACCTCTCTGGTATTAAACTTTTCCTTTTAAGAGAGTCTGTGTTATCCTGCAGCAGCTCTACCCTCTGATCATATTTACCTTACAATACCTTGTATACTCCCTTTTACATAAGGCTCCTTTGATGCCTGAAGCAAATGTTGTAAGACTATTTCCGATGTGCAACATACTGTCATCAGGGACTTCCATCTCCGACTTATTTTCATGCAAAGTACCTGAACTTTCTTCAAAGAGCACAAAGCAAATTGTTGCCAAGACAACATTGTGATCGTTAACGTGTGCTATATATCCGAGGTTCACTTCACATTTATAGAAGATTCCGCCACACATTATTAGAAGAGTGGATAGTGAATAATATACATTTGGAAAAGTTGTGTTTGTATTGCCGGCATGTCCAAACTAAGTCCTGAGGGCCAATTGCGGCCCGATGTGTCCTTCTATGTGGCCCTATTCTTTGCTAACCCAAAATACCAATGAGATTATAAATACAAGTTCATGTGTTATCCAGCCAACTTCCGCTTCTCCAATACAGGCATGATATGCCTCATCGTAAAGCTCAGCCCCTTTTGAATCAATGTATTTTTATGCATAATTGTTTTTCATTTTGGCACAAAAATGTGGCTGTGGCACTGATGCAGCAATTAAGAAAGCCAGTCATCTAACCTCAGCTCTCACCAGTTTGTATGAACTAATGCTCATGTTATACCTCACTTAGCATCTCAAAATTATAGTCAAAA